TAAAGACAACGAAGCAAAAGTGAGGATGTTTTTTGAATACTTTGAAGTGCGGTCATGGAGTTCAAAGTTCGTTCAAATCAAAAACAGCATTGACAAATGTAAGAATTCATCGGCTTCGTTATGCGACGTTTTTCAGGAGCTCCACCAGGAAGTAGTAGAGTACCGAAAATTAATCCGGCCAATGTACCACCAACGAAAGCAAGTGCTTGTGATCGACCGGAATAGTTGATTTGTTCATATATTTCTTCGCGTTCTATGATTGTTGTCATATTATTAATTAATTTAATTTGACTGGTAGTCACATTCGAATCAAATGGATAAAAATGGTCGACATTTTCAAGTGAATAAGGTATAGCTTCGATAGAATATCCATCATCAGTTATAAATTGAAGTTTACCATCATTAATACCATGGTCTAATTTCATATGAGCATCGACTAGCCACAATTCGGACGTTTCATCAACATACGGTGTCCGATCGAGAACAGTAAAAATACAATAAAATATATTGCTAAATGAGTACATAGGGGTTGATTTGATCTATACCATAGATGTTCATCGAATTCATTTAAATATACACCAGTACGATAGTCATAAAAGTTATAGGAAACATAAGCTGGTACTCCAGTACGTTGTCCTCTAGTGAATGCACATTAGATAAGTTATTATTCGCTTTTCTTCAAACTGATTGAAGGAATGTTTTGACACAGAATTCAGAAGTAGATTCAGGGTTTTTCTTTGATAGGAGTCCACCTGAACAACGCTCAAATGGAATTTTTGGACGAGATATTATTGAAAAATACTCAAAAGATTTTTTGGGCAAAAAGCAACCGCCCTTCGGCCCCATGGGCCATTACTGGTGAACATTACAGAGTCAGAACACAGCTTAATTGATGATAACACATCCTTGAGTTATGTTGATAAAATGTATCTTTGATGTAAATGAGACGTTTACATCAAACAGCTCAGTTAATTTCAACCGTCATGAAGTCATCAAAGAAACCCGCAATGAGACAAGATACATTCTGCAAAGAAGTAAAACGCTTTTAGCGCAAACTCTAACGGAATTAATGTGTGAAAC